AATGACCCGAAAGGGACAAAGTGGAACACGGATATCTGTCTCTTATACACATCTAGATGTGTATAAGAGACAGGAGTGCACTATACCTGAGCAGCCTGCCAATCAGACTGAGAGCTCCCTTCTTGCCCGCCTTCACACCGACCCTCATAAATCTTCCGTGACAGTCCCGTCAGTTCTTCTTGCCTACCATCTGAAAGAAAAAAAAAGTGTGCACCTCCCACCGATGCACTTTGTAGTTAGCTTTCCGTCGCATAGTTGTTGCTTCATCACACAAGCTTTTTTTTTTTTTGGGAAACGCCCCCACCAGTGTTAGTGGTGCTGATAACATAGAAATTATTAGAAATTATATTTGGTAGAATACCAGAGTGGCCCGGGACCACTTGCCCAGCCGGGCAGTTATTTAAAATAAGTTTAAAATTTAAATAACATAGAAATTATATTTTTTAATTTTATTCAAGTTCATTGAAATTTATAATTTTATTATTTTCTATTTTAAATTTGGTAACGGATATTTCGATGTGACCCAGAGGCAAAAGTTCAGTTTATTTTTCTGCATAGCAGACTTCTTTTTCACATTTTTCGTAGTTCCTTATTTTTTATTTTTTGCTGGGACCTTCTTTGGCCCTCGCACGGCCGGGCCACCCTGGCAAACAAGGTGACCCGGGCGGCCAGTGTGGTAGCCTAGATTCAAAATCTGTTGAGACAGCTGCTGCATCCTTGTTTCCCCTCCCTACACCTCAATCCACTCGAAAGAAGATCAGATTCTTAAGCCACCAGTACCTTCCCTGCTTGAAAAACAAATGCCTGCCGGTTAACACGGGAGGCGGGCAGGCTCGGGACTACCGGCGCGACATGGCTGGTGGCGCCAGCCAAATGAGGCCTGTGCCAGTTCGTTTTTTTTGGGCACGCAGGGCAGTTTTAGGCTCGGCATCGATAGCTGAGAAAGGTACTGGTGGTTTAAGCATAAAAAATGGGCATTCAAAAAAGCAACCCTCACCTGCCATGGGCGCAAACACAGAACAACAACCTCACACTACCTGCTATGGAACTGCTGCATTTTTTTTTTTGCTTAACAACACAGGGGTTGCTCATAGGAACTACTGCATATTAACCATTAAGAAAATTTCTGACTGAGAAACCCGAACCATCAGGGAAGCTATCCCTGCAGCAAATCATCACTGGGGTACACTCAAATGCACTGAAGTCAAAGAAGGGGTTTGGACTTTGGGTTGATGTGCTGAAGGAAGTCACGATCATTGTCATTGGCTCACTGCAACCCGAGGTATAGGTGGATTTGATGAAGAGGGCTATGATTGTCATTCGCTCGCCGAGGACCATGCACCCAGCACTTCCTTAGTGCGCTCGCACCAGCGCACATTTCACAGACTAACCATCACCAGGCTCTCTGGTGACTCAGATCAGGACCGTTCGCATTCCACCTGGCTAAACATGGCATTACATTGTTTCATAGACATGTTGTCACTGGGGCAACTGCCCACTCCTCTCTCTTTCTCATCTTCTGTGCATCTTGCTCTCTTACATGCGCCTCTCTCTCTCTCTCTCTCTCTCTCCCCCCCCCCCTCACTCTCATCTCTCCCTCTCATCTTGTGTGCATCTTGCTCTCTCTCTCTCTCTCTCTCTCTCTCTCGTGTGGCGACGCCCCGAGGCGCAGTGAGGAGGGCCAGCATGCTGTCGCAAAAAGAAATGAGGGCCAGTCATCCCTCCCGTGTCCGCAAAGGGCTGCTGACTCATTCCCCAGGCAGCGGGCAGTGGCAGGGCAATAGCGGTGCTTTCCTCAGGCCTTCCTTGGGCTTTGGGCTGCGGTTGCTAAAATTTAGCTGACGACCTGGGTCATATGCCTGTGGACCAACCAGGCCTGCTGGTGCCTCCCTCAGGCCTTAACCGGTGGCTTCTAAAATTTGACCGGGGACGTGGACTATATGCCTGCTTACAGCCCACATCCAGGATTGTTCACGGAACCATAAGACCAAGCAGGAATAGTGGCTTTGCGCCAGCGGACGACTGAGATTTTTGGCCGCTCAGCGAAGAAGTCAGACGGCCCATGTGTCTGGGCTCTGGACCATCCATCATATGCCGACATCCTAGATCGTCCGAAGTCCTCCAGCATACGTTACGGATCACCGGTTATGATGATAAGTGATTTTTGTAGCACTGGGATGTTCTGATTCAAGAGTTCCCAGAAGAACATTCTCCAGAAGGACACCGAACACTAGAGCTTATGCCAAGAAAACATCTTCCTGCAGAACACATTCTCAAAAACATCTTGCTGAAATGCACAAAAGAGCTCAGGTCATAATTCTTAAGCTTGTACCGAGAAAAAACGCGCGGAGGCCGAGACAAGCAAGCAGATAAAGAGAATGAAGAAGAAGGGAGTCCAATGGACAAAAACATATCTTATTAAACAATTCTTAGAATATCAGAGTATTTATAGTTTTCACTTTTGCCATATTGAAAAAAATCGTAAAAAGAAAGAGACGAGGAAAAGACCGGGCGGAATTACAAGGAGTAGAAATAGCAATGTGAAGGAGGATGTGAGGAAGGATGGCATTAGTTCGGGGACCAGCTACAGCGAATAGGAAAACGATGTTATGTGCGCAACTGGCAGAACTGGGTAAGAAGGTTGTAGGACAATTTAGGACCTGAAACAGGTTGCACTGGGATAGGCGAGGTCATGGATATAACCGAATGGTAATACGGGCTCGATGAGGCACTGTATGAGGTAGTAACAGGATAAAGACAGCTGTTATGCGGCCTGAGCAACTGATCTTCTTTCTCGTTTTTTCCTCCCCTTATCTCTTGGATCAAGTTGGATGTAAAAACATGCTTGCCAATAATAAGCAACCGGGCTGTTGCCCTCCCCCCCACCCAATAAAAAAAAACACAGACGGAAAGACACATCTGCGGATGGAGATCAGGACAGTTGTTGAAGGGTGAGAGCAAGAAAGCATCAGAGAGAGAGAAAGAACAGGGACACGAGAGTGCAGAAGGGAGAAGGAAGGGGGGAGAGAGGGAATTTCAAAGCGGAGGGAGGGAGAGGGGGAGCGAGAGCGCGCAACCGAGTGACAGACCGAACGAGCAAGTGAACGACCAGCCAAGTAACCAACTGAGCAACCCGCCAACCAGCCCACCAACCAATCGAACCAGCAACTGACCCACCGACCAAGCAAGCCAGCGAGCGACTAGATTGGCCCGCCTGCCAGCCACAGAGAGAGAGAGAGAGAGAGAGAGGATCAGGCCTAGGTACTTCTTCTTCACTTATTTCACGTAGGCATACGAACAAGAAGAAAATGGTGAAAAGTAAATACTGATTACAACATAGAGACAGATTGGGAAACAATGAGGATAGAGATCGGAAATGAGAGGGAGAGGCACATAGCCCAGTACCTAGAAGTTTCTTTTTCACTTCCTGCCAGCAGTCAATATAGGGATGCGCAACCTTGCGCTTCTTCTTCACAAGCTGAACTGCATCATCCAGAGTAAAGCCCTGTCCAGTGTACAGCCACAACCACGAAGAGAACCATTACCACAAGTGGATGCATAGGTAATTCAATTTCTGTGTCATTCCTTGGTCAATGGCTGATCACAAAATACAAACCAAAATTACTAAATTTACTAAGAAAGGACTGCCAAATTGGATATTAGAATCATATAAGATTCATATTGACATGTTATGAATCAACCGATCCAACAGTTGATCTTTAAGTTAGAAAAGAACAAGCAGTCAACTCAATTAGCAGAATTGAGTTCCACTCAGCTGAGCTTCTGTGTCTTTTTTGGGAAACGGGACCAAGTAACTGATCCACATCCTTCGGGACATCCTTTAAGATTGAACAAAACCTAGGAAGGCTGTCAATCCCGGGCGGGCACCCGGACATGACGCCCACGGTACCCAAGCGTGCAAAAAATAAAAATAAAAATAAAATCGCAAATTTTTTTTTCCGTTCTTTTTTTTCTTCTTTTTTTTTTTCCGCTGGGGCTGCCTGGAACCCTGCCCGGGGGTCATGCCCGGCCGGGCACCCACGCGTGTATCCGGGCACAAGTTCGGTGCGCGGGCGCCCGGAAAACCAGCCTAGAATGAAACACAGAAGATTAGCATGCCCCCTGCACAAGGATGACATGATGAATCGTGAGATGATCCAAACAAAAACAAAAAAAAAAACACAAAAAAGGTGACGTGTTCCAAGCTCGTCTATGAAAGAATTGCCCAATCCAAGGGCTGAATTCTTTTTTGGTTTCTTTCTAAAAGCGACCCAATAAATTGTTTCAAGCCCTTGGTTCCCATGACTGATCTGGCATTTCTTTTAGTTTTCCAGAAATCACAAGCTGCTGGAATATCACCAAATGATACTTTCAATGAACTGACGGAAAACTGCAAAAGTGGTATCAAAATTGTGGAACTGATTTTTTTAATTTCAAGTTTCAATTCACCATGATAAATGGGAAATTGCAACAAATTCAATGGGACACTCCTCATAATAACTTGCCCATGATGCTCCCCAGAACAGAAAGGACTCGAAGGAGGCGTCGCAATAAGGCCACATTAAGAACAGAGGGCATAAAAAGAGAAAGCAAAGTTGTATAAGGTGTGTGACCTGGTTTCCAGCTGCTCACTGTCCCTTCCAGGATTTTTTTTATTTTTTTTTGGTGGGGGGGGGGGAACCATTTCTCAATTCATGCGTGTCATCCTTGTGCAGGGGCCATGCTAATCTTCTCTGCATAGTTCCAATTTTAATGGATGTCATGAAGTCCCATGGACTGCACACGAAATACTTCCACATGCATTTTTTGCACAATGCGTGACCCAGCGGCCCACCCAACCAAACACGCCAATAGTGACATAACTCATCTGAACTTCTGAAGAATATGTATGATGTAATGACCTTTTGCAGATGACTAAGTTTTTCAGGACATGGGGTCCGGCTTCCAGCACAGGTTGAGGCAGTCAGTGAACATCAGCAAACGCCGAGACTGACACATATGAAATCAATGTTTGGTCGAAATTTCATTCTTGTTTTGTCGTTCTTCTGCACTTTTCCTTTTGTCTTTCTTCTCAACTTGTTCTTTGTTCTTTCTTCTTCGCATGAAACTTCATCAAGGGAAGCAGCAAGGGACGTTCTGCATTGCGGGCTCACAAACCTGAACAAAAGTCAAATAGCCAACAACACTCAGAGTTGCACGGTTGATCCCAGCCGTACAGTGCACGTACACCCGGCGGCCCCGGGACACCAGCACATTTAGCATGCGTACTGCTTCAGGAAGCATTAATGCCTGGACACGTCAGAACGAAAATCACACACCAAAGAACACCAGTGACCAATCTAAATATAAATTACGTTTAAAACTTTTAAATAGTCAGAAATAACTTCTAAATGACCCGAAAGGGACAAAGTGGAACACGGATATTGAAAAGAAAACAAAAATGTGCACAGAAAAAAGGAGAACCAAAACAAAACAGAGAGGGACACAACTCTCTCTCTCTCTCTCTCTCTCTCTCTCTCTCTCGCAAATAGGTATTAAGAACGTAGTCAACACCACAAAGAACATCTAGACCTATATAAAAATTGATAGTTGAGTAAGGAAGCCATCGTATTGTTTCAATTTTCAACAAATTGGAATTTAGCTGTAGAATTCTCAAATTGTATCCAAAAAACAACAGAGTATAAAAAAGTGATCAACGAGGTGCAAAAGGCAATACTTCGTATCAACCGTTTCTCTCTCTCTCTCTCTCTCTCTCTCTCTCAAGTAGGTATTAAGAACGTAGTCAACACCACAAAGAAAAAAGAAACCCCATCTAAACCTATATAAAAATTGATAGTTGAGTAAGGAAGCCATCGTATTGTTTCAACAAATTGGGATTTAGCTGTAAAATTCTCAAATTGTATCCAAAACAACAGAGTATAAAAAAGTGATCAAAGAGGTGCAAAAGGCAACCGTTTCTCTCTCTCTCTCTCTCTCTCTCTCTCTCTCTCTCTCTCTATCTATCTATCTATCTATCTATCTATCTCTCCCTCTCTCCCTCTCTCTCTAGCTCTCTCCCCCTCCCCCCTCTCTCTGTCTCTAACTTCCTCTCTACCTCTCTCTCCCTCTCCTCTCTCTCCCTGTCTGTCTGTCTATATATCTAGCTATCTAGCTATCTGTCCGTCTCCCTTATCGACCAATCTTGCATCACTGTTTACCAACAGATCAAAAGTTGAAATCCTGTTGAATCTTGGATACAGTGATGTTAGGGGGCGGGATGGTTTGGGTAGGGAAAGGAAAAAGAGCCCACACCTGATCTGCATGATCAAAATCTCGTATTGGCACCCTTGCAAGAAAGACACCATTTTCCATGGCCCGCTTGCGAATAGATTCAAACGGTATCTGCAGGCAAACGAAGGCGACCATTATTCGAAAAGGGAGTCAGAAGATTCAGTAGGGTCTAAGAAAGATAATAAACTAGAAATGGCCCTTTTCGAGATGGATTCAGGGGGGATCTGCATGAAACTGGAGGTGGCCATTACTTGAAAAAAGGGATTCAAAGAGATGTATTTAAAAAATTACAAACGAAGTTCAACGAGTTCAGCACACTGGTTGGCAATCAAACAAGCATGCAAAGAACATCGAAGGCAGCACCAAGAAAACAAAAACATGGCCACATAACAATAATCCACACAGGCACCCGGCATTTCAGTTCATCCTGTAGAGAGTCCATGCGTGCAGGTTCATCTCCACACAAAACTCCGTTACTTCCGCTCACAGAAGCGCGAATCAAGCAAGATCATCCAGTATTGCTATCCCCGCAAGTCCATTGTCAGAAGAAGCAAAAAGGCATTCCACCTGGGAGTGCTGACGGACCCCTGCTGGTGATGTGCTTGTCCCACCCTCTTCACCCTAATACAACTTACGGTCATTATAGCTGTATTTAGACTGTAGGATACCCCAAATAGATACAGCTATAATGACCGCAAATCGTATTTGGGTGAAGACGGTAGAGTTGCCGCCACATAGGTATGAGATATCAACAGTGAGATTCCTGAGCGTCGGTATATAACGGAGGCAGCAGGTGGAGACGCTGTGTGTGCCGTAGGGCTCCCCAGCGGCATGAACACGTTTAACCTACTCACTCCAGCCAATTAAAAAGTTTGCTCACCATATTTACTCTTTCGGAAGTGCCCACTAGCATGGTGGGTGCCACTTCTACTCCCGCGCAAGATGTATGCCACTCTTCACTCTTCGTTAAACGTCAATATACTTGCTAAAAAAAGTTGTCTTCGAGTCAGATGCAAAGACCATCAATAAAGGTATTCAAAGAGAAAAGCCCATCTGTTTGGACCAAGGGTCCTGAAGTGCGGCAAGGTACGAAAGCTCCCCCAGCACCGTATCTCTCCTGGAGAGGTTCCTGGTCGTTCGCTGGCACCCTTTTTTAGTACTTCTTTAACTAATTTCTTTTTTTTTTTTGCACACCAAGTCTAGGAACGTGTTTATTTCAAATTATTTGCCAATATGATGGCTGGTCATAGTTCAGTGAAGCTTTTGAGTCACTACACGAGCAATTCACCACCGACAAGGGTGCCTTCCACGCCGACGAATATGCAATCACTGGATCGGCCTGCCTCGATGCACATATGTGGAATAGCACAAACATAAGGGCACCTCTGTTTGTCTATTTCTTCTGAGGAAAGCCCCTCAGTTTGTCTATTTCTTCTGAGAATAGCCCCTCAGTTTCTCTATTTCTTCTCCCATCCTGTATCCCTCAACATCCCCATCGTCATCATCACACACACACACATGATGATCCCTTCCCTCTGATAAAACCAAACAGCTGCATGCTGTCTGCCAACCGTCTCGAAGATCGAAAGACTGCTGCCACCCGCCTCCAAGATCGAAAGACAGTTGCTCAACACGATAGACTTGAGAACATCCGCTTCCCGTAAACTCCCCCCTCTAGCTCTCTCGACTCTTACTCCTCAAACAACTATTCCTCCACTTGACCATCCCTTGCAGGGTTTCTACAAATTGAATACCTTTTGACATGACACGAAGCACTAGTACCTCTTCTTCCATATAGCAATCCTACAGGAAAACACAGGTGAAGACTGAGACAGTTACCATAATCATGGCTAAGCACAGCTCCTGAAGACCTACTGCACCTTTCTCGTGTCCAACGCACCTTCATTCACTGGAGCCCTAGAATTGCTCATAGCACACCTCTAACTCTACAAGTGGTAGTTCATGATTTTGTACTTTCATAAGGGACGCTGGGCCCGGTTCCCAGCCGTGTTGCTCCCCACGAATAGATTTGGAGCATCGTCTCTCTCTCAAAAAAAAAAAAAAAAAAAAAAAAACTCTACAAGTGGACAGTCGAGCAGCATGCACAGCCATCGCTAAATAACTCCACCCTATGCTGACATGGTTACTGTCCATTGGCAAAATAACCGCTGATATGATTATTAAATTAATATTAATATTATTATGATATTAACCATATGAATGAACAAGTCCGGCAGTGTCGCACGTTCGGTTTCGACAAGGCAAAAAAAAACACGTGTGGGCAACAACATCGGGTGTGGAGTTTGGAAAGGGCAATATCGGTAAAAATGGCTGTGGCCTGCGTGTGATTTTGTTGCCCTTCCAAACTTGGCGCACAGGTTTTTCAAACTCGGCGCGCGGGTAAAAATGCTTTTGTTCAAATTTGTTGCCCTTTCAAGCTCGGCACATGAGAGTTTTTTGCCCTTTCCAAACTCGTTTGTGCAAAAACCGAACTTACCCCTAACCATATTTAATATTTATCCATTGCCACCATTCAATTTGTGCCTTTGGCAAAATAACTGTATGCATCCTACGCTGATATGGTTATAATCCATTCTTTCCGCAAATAACCGTTCAGGACATCCGTTAAAATTGTAACGATAGAGAGAAGATTAGCATGCCCCCTGGACAAGGATGATGATGCATAAATCGAGAAATGGCCCAAAAGAAAGAACTCTACCAACGCAACATGATACCGTGCCAATGGATGCCATGCACTTTTTTTTTAATTTTAGAGCTGCAGTGGAGCAGAACTCCGATCCAGTGGCAAGAGAAGCTACTGCAATGACCCGCACAAAATCACAGTCTGAGATTCCTGCGAAAACGGTGTTCTTTGGGCCTTTTCTCTGGGCATTCCGAGTCTGAGTCTGTTTTGCTACAAAAAATTCTGCGTTTTCAAAGTATGTGTGTGAGCTACCGCTAACATGCATCTCCGGGTCACAGCCACATGCACATCAGTGGTAACTCTGTTGCTGAGTCCAAATCTGTGTCTGTGTGACAAACTCTGCACCAAGGAGCAGAACTGCAGTTAGTCGTGGGATGTGCACGTACACCTGGCGGCGTTTCGAAGTATCTCAGTGATTTGGACTCAGCAAGCTAAAAAGCAGTGGTAACTGTGTTGCGGAATCCAAATCTGTTTCCGTATGCTAAATCTGTTGGCCGTGTGTGTGTGCCTGTGACTCGGAGAGGGATAAGTTATGAATAGAGTGACGGCCAGGGGCAGGACTGCACTTAGTCGTGGGATGTGCTGAGGGGTAGTCTAGCGCTCAGGGGCAAGTGTGGAGTTGGCCAGGGAATGAGACTTGGCTGGAAATTCTTCTTGGCTGGATCCCGCCAGTTATCACCTGGTGGGATTTTCCAGCAACTCCGGTAGACACCGGACCCAGTAGGCTTTGTGGGTAGGCCAGTATTGGCCAAAAAGAGTCACAAGTAGTGAGGCCGGCTGTGACTCGCAGAGGGACAAGGAATGAACAAAGTGATGGCGAGGGGCAGGACTGCAGTTAGTGGTACGATGTGCTGAGGGATAGTCTAGCGCTCAGGGGCAAGTGTGGAATTGGCAAGGGAATGAGATTTGGCTGGAAAGGCTTCTTGCCTGGATCTTGCAACTATCACCTGGTGGGATTTTGCAGCAACTCGGGTAGACCCCGGAACCAGTAGGCTTTGTGGTTAGGCCAATATTGGCCAAAAAGAGTCGTAAATGGAGAGGCCCATACCTGGTAGGGTCCTTGGCTGGATACAGGCCCTGAGGACGAGTCGCAGACAGAAATGATGTTCTCCCATCAAAAGCACGAACACCCGGTAGACCTACTGCACCCAAGGGAGACAGGGTCGTGCTGGCCCGCTGCTGAGTACTGCACCCAAGGAAGGCAGGGTCGTCCTGGCCCACTGCTGGGTACTGCACCCAAGGGAGCCAGGGTCGTGCTGGCCCACTGCTGGGTAGTGCTCGGCCAGGAGGTACCGGAGGCCTGGCAGCCAACATATATGAGCGGGTGTACAGTAGAGCGCGGGACACCTCGGTTCATTCTTCAAGTGAGCATCATTCTGCTCCGACCTGAGGGTGATGTAGGCGGAGTGAGGGTGATGGTGAAGACCTCCATGGCTATGGAGTAGCACTGGGAGGTGGTAGAGATAGCCCATGGCTATGGAGGTGAGGGCGATGGACCTCAAGCCTGGCTATGGAGATGCATAGGAGGTAGGAGGAGGCAGAAGGAGGTGGACCGGGAAGGAGACTCACCTTGGGCTATGGCCGACCTTCATCTGCACTTCATTGGTTGCCACTGCATCTAGGAGGCCCCTATATGGGTTGTGGCTGTGCTAGAACTTCATTCAAGGGTATGGCCATGGCGGCTAGAGATGGGAGAGACACAGTGGAGTTTGCATTGTCCTTTGAACATCCGTGATTCACATGGATGTTGGGCTATAGCTAGGGCGGTTACCAAGTGTGGAGGAGAGAGGTTATGACTACAAGGAGGGTTCTTTGAGTGCTGGCAGCAATGGGGACTAATCGTACATTGATTCTGGCAGCAATGGGGACTAATCGTACATTGATTCTGGCACTTCCATTCATTGGTGTTTATTATTATTATATTAATGAGATGATGGAGATGACAAGGGGAGTTGAGAGGGGGACGGCATTGGTTCAACTTGTGTTTCTCATCATATTCTTCTTCTTCTTCTTCTTCTTCTTTTCCCCATTTCTCTCTTTCGTATCTCTTCTTCCATTCTCTTTCATTTGACTCGTAGTGGAATGACATGGTCCCTCTGTGAGCTTTTGCATTGGAAGTTGATCAAGGATTATAGCACTATATTGCCACAAATAAAAGACAAAATAGTAAAATACTGCCTCTCGGTACCACCACGCAGCCTCCACTATACACCCGCCACAAATTCTATCGATTCAGCCAACAAATGTCAGGGCGTACTCGCACTGGCACTATGTTTGATGTATCCAACTGCACTTAAGCCCAAACCAGGATGTATTTGAACACAGTTACATCCAGAAACAAGTGAAAGAGTCCTACGGCGAGTATGCGCTATACCGTCTTCTTCGGAGGAAGGTGGAGGATGGGCGCTACAAGACCAAAAAGGCTGGCTGTGCCAGCCAAAACAAAACAAAAAACGCCACGCTGCCGCTTCGGCCAAATCCTGGCGTGCAGTTCTACCTCGCCTCAGCAAAAAGGTTTCTCCCTCTTTACATATCAAAGGCTAGAAAGTTCGATGTACAGAAAGTCAGTACGCCCTTATAACCTCCTTGCAGTAGATTCAAAGGACCAACTCATCCTCATACTGGCAAGTTACGACTGCCTCACAGGGACAAAGGCCTTAAAAAAAAAAAAAAACAAAAAAAAACACTACGAAAAAAAAAAGAACTCCTTATCTATTCTGGGATACATCAGTTCGGTTCCCATTCCACCGGCAAGTCGATACACACTTCAGCAATAAGAGATTCTCAACTAGGACGTGCAGTGAAACCACAAACTGTCCGGAGGCTCGCCTTTTGTGTGGCCCCAAAGAACAACAAGGAAAAATGGAGGAGTGGTTCTGAACTGGGTAATTTACTAATCTGGGACATCTGTCAAGATTGGAACAATACAGAGAAGTTTCTGTTTTTTTTTTTTTTGTGTGGGGGGGGAGGGCAAAATCAAGTCTTTATTGCAAACAAAGAACAAGGGGAGGCCGGGGAGCTCACAATTCAACCCGGAAGTTTGGCAGCATTACCTAGTTTAGCTTACGAGCTGAGGCTTGCCCAATAGAGAGAAGATTGTCATGGCCCCTGTGCGAGGATGACACACATAAATCGAGAAATTGTCCCCCCCCCCCAAAAAAAAAAAAAAAAAAACCTAACCTAACTCCCACACAAATGAGATTCAATACCCTTGAATGAAGTTCCCACTTCTGTTCCTTCCTTTTTTTCATGATTATCAAGGATCCAGGGACAAAGGTGGAGGCTCAGCCTTTACAAAAGGTCAACCCCAAAAGTCTACACTCCCACCACAAGGAGCTGATCACTTTGCCCGGCCCACGTGGCCCAATCTATCACATCTTTACCATAGCCCAGTGTCATTCCCATCTTCTTCCTTCCTTTCTTTAACAAGGGGAAGAGGAAAAGAAAAACAAAACTAAAAAATGGAGTCCTCTCATATTATTGTACGTAACTAATAAGGTATGACCACTACCGTCCAGGAGGATATGCTTGCACTAGAACGTTTTCAATCGAATTTGGTCGTGATAGCAGTCAGATGCATTGTGAAAAGTCCGAGCGTGAGTATGCCGTCTGTCACCAGTCCGGTACGATTCTCCACATCTTCTGATATCGCAACACGTCACATCCTTTTCTAAGATTCTTTTTCTTTTTTTTTTTAACTGGCAACATTTTCCTCCATTGATTTTGCGGATGTTCAATTAGTTCACTTTTTTTTCCGATGGAGGGCCGGTGGGGAGGAAAGATGATCAACTGTCATACCTGACTCACATGAACCTTTTTCCTTTCCCTCCATTGATTTTGCGGATGTTCAATTAGTTCACCTTTTTTTCCGATGGAGGGCCGGTGGGGAGGAAAGATGATCAACAGTCATACCTGACTCACATGAACCTTTTTCCAAACAATGTCAAATATTAATTAGGCTTTGATGTTGCGTCGCACAACGTGCATCATCCCCTTTCTGCCTCTTCTCTCTGCTTAAGTCATAACTGGCACGCACAGAACTCCCTCTCATCAACATGCCAAGCTCCAGCCAAATGCGAAAACATTCTCGAATTCTCCAACATTATGAATTCCATCAAGTTTGCAACTTTGCACCATTGATGGAGTTGAAAACTTGAAATCAATGGAGTTGAAATTGATGCAGTTGAAAACCATGGGCTACCGCCATTGATGGCATTAAAATCAACGGAGTTGAAGTTGATGGGAGTGGATGGATTTGAAACTAATGGAGTTGATGGATTTAAAACTGATGGAGTTGATGGATTTGAAACTG